GATCGACGGTAGCTGTTGTCTGAATAGCGGTTTGTTGTTTGAAGAGCTGACTGATCACTATTTTCGCTTTCAGCACTTGCATATATGGTTTCTCCCGTGGCAGTGAAAAAGACTGATGAATTGACGCAGCTGCTGTGGTGGTGGTGCTGGCGTGATGATGGTGGTGGACCTCGTGTTGGTTGTGTTGCTAGTGCTACTATTGGTTGGGGAAGACAAAGAAATGTATTGCGGGTGGGATTTAAATGATGGGAGATCCGGAAATTTGCCATGAATATTTCCAGAAAGTGCTTCTACAACCCATTTCATGTTAGGCCGGGATTGTGGGTCCTGAAGCGTGCAGAGAAGACCGAGATGAACAAACCGTTCCATATCAGAAAGCTTGTAAGACCCATCTGGAAGCCTAGTATCCCCTGCTTGTAAAAGCCTCCCATCATCAGAAAGCCTTCTGATCCAATCAAGCAAAATGATCTGGTCATCTGAGTATGTGAGGTCCACCGCTCTTCGTCCTGACACAACCTCTAGAACCACAATCCCAAAGCTGAAAACATCAGATTTTGAAGTGGCAATGCTTCGCTTTTGGAAGCTTTCCGGTGGTAGATACCCAATTGTTCCACCAATTCTGGTCGTGTCTGCTAACCGAAACTGGTGATTCCTCATTGATGGTGTCCTAATTTGGTACTCAAGTTCGTGTTCGAGCCACCTAGCCAGGCCAAAATCACCAAGCCGCGCGTTATAGTGAGAGTCAAGCATCACGTTGCTCGTCTTCACATCTCGGTGTATGATTTGAGTCTCCAACTGTTCATGGAGATAGACCAACGCAGCTGCCAACCCTTTAACAATCTTTCTTCGACGCTCCCAAGTAAGAGTAGTTGACGCCATATTTTCTGGTCTTTTGAAGAGTATTCTATCAAGACTCCGATTGGGCATGTATTCATAGACAAGAAGCAACTGATCTTCATGAACACACCATCCACGGAGGCGGACAAGGTTCCGGTGGCGGAGATGAGCCACTGCCACCAACTCAGCCGCAAATGTCTTCTCAAACCGCTCTCCTCTCTCTGCCAAGCATTTCACGGCAACCACTGTTCCATCACTAGGTAAAACTGCTCTGTACACTTTCCCAAACCCTCCACTGCCAAGAACTTCATCCTCACAAAATCCCTTTGATCCTATGTAGAGCTCAGCATAGCTGAATATCCTCGGATTGTCGCCACCAATCTTTTCTGAGAATTGGACTCCTTCCATGTCCTGGAACAAGCCTGAGGGTTGTTTTTTCAGTTCTTCTTGGTGACAAAAACTCACCCATTTTGAGTCAAAGAACCCCTGAAGTAATTCACTAAGGAAACCAAGAATCCGAGCCCCACAATGGCGTTCAGATGAATCTTTCTTAGCTTGCCTATGGTCTTGGACCTCTTGCTTGTGATCCACCATCTCCATCTCAACAGATTCTGCTGGTAAAATGAAGCACATGTGGTTAAGCTTCATGGTGGACCGAACCTGGTAGTGGTTTCAAAAGCAGTAAGGGGTGGAAGAAGGTCCTGAATATGAATGTGAATTTATATGTAAACCTTGGGGGAGGGGTTGGTGTTGGGAGGAAGAAGTTTTTGAATGTGAATGTGAACATCTATGTGGGGAGGAGGAAGGTTTTGAATGTGAGTATATAAATAAACCTTTAGGGGTGTTTTTTTTGTTTTTTTTTTGGGGTGGGTGGGTGGTGGAAGAAGGTTACCAAGGAAAGAGAAATACTCAAATTTGTATTCTAAATAAAAGGACCATGGGATGAGTAGGGTTCATCAATTTTTTTAAATGGGACTCACTGATTCAATGATCCCTTTCATTTGATGTACAAATTTGGGTTACATACATAGTATTTTTCAGTAAGATAAATCATGTCGGCGTGATACATGGTGTAACTGTTGTAAGGAATATTTTTTCCGGAATATGAATGTGAATATATATATATATAGATGTAAAAAGGGTGTGGATATGTATTGTGGCTTTTGGTATTGCTTTTATTTTATTACTGATTCCTACCTGGGGAGGTTGACTTTTTTGACATGAAGACGAAACGGCCAACCAGAACCGACCCCGGAGGGTGATGTTAAGCAGTGAAAAGTCTTTGTAGTTGATTTGGTTTCTGGAAACATTGTTTCATGTACCAAAAAAAACAAGGAAACATTGTTTCACACGAGGAAGGCCTTATTACACTCTCATTTTGAAACGCGTGATGATCACCCATGAAAGATAAAATCTCAAATGCCATTAGAACCGGCAAATGCGCATATGCCATTTTTCACAATTGAAACAAAAATCATGCGTTTTATGAATAACACAGCAATTTTTAATGTTTTCTGCCGTTGCTAAAATAGCAGCCCTGATTAAACACACCAAGAAGAAAATGTAATTGGAGGGTTTGAAATTCACATTAGACTGGTAGGTCCAGGTGTGTAAGTGATTATACAAAAAAAAAAACAAAAATGTTTCTCTATGTTGTAGAACTTATGGTTGTTAAAATAAGACACGATTTGTTAATATGATGCGAATATGACATAAAATTAGAGGGTTTAAGTTTTTTTTAAGTTATCCGTTTCCTAAACGAGTGAACTCGATATGATACGATCAATAAACAAATTAGGTATGAGTGAAACCAATTAAAAGAAATAAATGTCACGACTTGTTTATATATCGGTTATACAAGATTTTTTTTTTTTTTGGGAGGGAAAAAGGAGATTTGAACCCTTGATCTTAAGAAGACAAAATTTTTACAAGACAAGGAGTACCATTAGATCAAAAATCTATTGGTGGTTATACAAGGTTCATCCATGATACGAACCCGATATAACACGACTCATTAGATATGAATTAATAACTGAAGAACTCACTAAGAGTAGACCCAACAGGCCTAATAAGACCCAAACCCTTTTCACAATAAAGTTAAATTAATTATTTCCAATAATGCGATTTCTTTTCAATTTAGTAGATGTGTGTGTGTGTGTGTTTTTAAAATTGAATGAATGACACAAGTGCATACATGAAAAATATTCAAATTATCAAGTTACATCTTGAAAGATTAAAATTTTCAAACTGTACCCCAAACATACAAAAAGATAACAATGTGATTCAAATCACAAAATTTATTGCTCTATTTGATTTTTTTTTTTGTTTGTATTATATTTTTTATTTTATGCACAATTATTTGTATATTACTCAAAATTTACCTATCATACATTAAAAGGCTTCTCCATTTTGTAGGACCCAAACTCCTTTTAGAATAAAGTTAAATTATCTTGATAATAACCCAACTAATTATTTCCATGAATGCGATTTCTTTATACTCTCATAGATTTTTTTTTTGTTTTTTTTAACTTGGTGAATAATACTTTGCACCCTTAAATATATTCAGATTCTCAATTTACATCCTGAAAGATTAAAAATTTAAAATTTCGCTTCAAACATATCAAAAAATAACAATGTGGTCTAAAAGAAAAAATCTATTGCTTTATCTAATAATTTTTTGCATTTTAGTCTTATATTTTTCAATTTTTTTGTTCAATTATTTGTATATTACTCTCTTTTAACTATCATACACGAAAATTTATACTCAATTTTATTAAGATAGACTATATTGTTACTTTTATTTTATATAATTGAAGGTACAATTTGAGAATTTTAACCTAAAAATCTTTTAAGGTGCAAAGTGATATTGGCCTATTTAACTTTTATAGAATGTGACGAATGTGTATCAATACTATTTTAATTTAGTTTGGGGATTTAATACGTTTATGTCATTTGATTGATAGTAAATTCTATTTAATGTCGAGATCCACTACTTATCAAACATAGAAATCTATATAATAAATCATAATACAATTTAAATTTTAAAGATATACAAAATAATTTTTATTTTTCGCGGTTGAGTTTTTTTTTTAATTTTATTTTAAAATTAATCTCATGTCTAATATTAGTACCCTAAATTTAATAGAGAAAATAGACTCTTAAAGGTGTATTTGGAGTAATCTTTTAAAAATGCTTCTAGAACTTATAATTTTTCATAAGGTATTTTTTTACAAAATAGTGTTTAGAACTGTCTCACCACTACCACTACCACCCCCATTGCCCCACCACCATCAACATCACCCCACCACCACAACTACCACCACCACTACCACCCAGACCACTGCCCCACCACCACCACTACTACCGCCACCTTACCACCATCGCCATTGTCTCACCACCACCCTTACCGCCCCACGGCCACCATCATCATTGCCACTATCACAACTAATCGTCGTCGTCCATCACAACCATCATTGTTTCCCACTACAATCGCTCGCCTTTACTACAATCAGTGATTAAATTCTTTTATCTTTCCTCTATTTTTATAATTTGATTTTGGATGTAAATACAAATATGTTTATTATTGACCATTTTTTTTTATTATTTCGTGCCTTCAGATATGAAAAATAACTAATAATATAATATATTAGGTTATTAAGTATCTTTCTTGTAGTCTCTTGTATCAGAACTTTTGCACTTTTTTTTGCTATTGAAAGTGATTCTAGGCTTAGTACTTACGCCTATCCAGTAGTCGTTACCAGTTGTTCACCACTCCTCCCTTCTTGTCTATTTCGCCAGTATGCTTCCTCTCTAAAGTCTTATTCAAGTCCTTAGTCTCACATAAAGCCATTTTTAGAGGATTTAGACAGGTGAACTACTTCCAATTCAATTGCTTTAAGTTAAATTTGATAATCACAATCATTGATTAGGTAGTGAGTCTTAATAAATGTTGAGACTCACAGTGAAATTAATAACTGTAATTATCAAGTCTAATTTTTAAGTATATATAACATTACTCTATTAATATTAGATTACAATAAAACTGTTCTAAATTATAACCACACGGGCCACACGAGAAGACTATGGAGCTTGAAAGGCTAAAGAAAGTCAACATTATTCGGTGTTCTAAAGGAAATGTGTCTCATGTAATTGACATGCATCAATGGCGGAAGTGTAGGCGTGAGTCTTGTGAAAAATGTATGCTAGAGATTCAATAAGATTCTTCCTTTTTTGCTAATCAATAAGAGGTATAAAGAGCGATTAAATATTCAATTTCAACTGAATGTTTGAGCTCTTACCAATTATGGAAATTCTTGCAGACGTTGCTCAGTAAGTAAGACATGTATGCTATCCCGTGAATTGAACTTGGGGTATAATACTTACCGGCCTTAAACTCCAAAACTCCTAAGGAGGCACTAAGTGTCACTATACCACACTAATTTGTTGGTAATTCAATAAGACCAAGTTACAATTAAACGAACTCAAAATTACAACTCAACTAAATATAAAAATTTGAAATCAACACAAAAAATTTCTATCGATTTAAAAAAGTTACAATCAATCTCCAATTTTCTAGATCGAAACTAATTTGACCCTATTGATTCGTAACTCATTATCTTTTAATCTAATTTATCCTTATTAAATTATTATTTTTTGTACGATATTATTTACTTTTTATAATATAATATAAATAAAGTGTAAAAATAAAGGCATATTTGTTTTAGATAGATAATGTGCTAACTACTACGTGGGTGTTGGTCGGTTGAGTTGGGTGTTGATTTGGTTGCCTGCTTTTTGTTCTCATTAATGCCAGGTTCACTTTTTTTGGTGGGAGGTGGGAGATTAATGTCACATTCATTGTGGTGGAATGCATTCAATCTTTTCAGTTTTAACTTTAGTAAATTATAATAACACCCCGCAAAGTTTTATGAAAATGCTTTTTGTATCCTAAGATTTAAGAAGTTATAAAAAAAACCATGGGTCTTGGTTGGTTGACGACATATTGACCTAATTTGTTGACATAATTCACTATAGTTTTTGGATTGATTGTAGGTTCCATCAAATGTTAAAACTTGTTATTGATCCAATAATTCTACTGAAATTTCATCAATAAATCAATAAACTAGGTTAAATTTTAAATTTAAATAACATTAGTCTTCATTTTTATCATCTCACTTTTTTACTTTTTTGACTTCAGATCAAAATTAATAATCAACAAGAAATATTAAAGGGTTAATTGCACGGAAGATACTTAAAGTATGAGATTTGTTTCATTTTGATACACAATATTTTAATTGCATCATTTTTTGTTCATAAAATATTGAATATGTTTCTATGTGGTCTCTTAAGCAGACAATATCTAAATTGCTAACGATATCCAAAACTTATTCGTGGTACATAAATATGAGTAAAAAAATAATATGGTTAGCTCTTGACCAAAATTTGGATAATTTATTATCACAACTGTGTAATTTACGTAGCTTTTTGATCAAATTTTGGCTAGAAATTTGGTCAAAAATTATCCAAATTATTTTTTCTCCATATTTAGATATTTTGTGACAATTTTATAACAAAAAAATGTTAGCAATTTGAATATTGTCTGTTTGAGGGATCACATAAAAACATATTTAATACTTCAAGGACCAAAA